CAGGCTGTGGGCCCCACAAGACACATCCATCCTCAGTCTCCAGGGTGACCTGGAAAGGAAGGGTCGTCAGCGCCCCGGCCCGCCTACACCATTCTCCCCGACACTGGCCCGGTCATACCTGCAGCTGGTACTCCGATTCTTCCTCTCGGTCCAGGGCCCTGGTCACCAGCAAGAAGCCAGACTCTGGATCCACAGCAAAGAGGCCCTCAGCTACCATGCCTGGGGTCCCCGACAGCACAATCTTGCCCTCTGTTTCCTCAGGGGGCAGTGGCAACTATGGAGGAGAGCAGAGGTAAAGGCAGTGGGAACCAGGCCTGGGGGATGCCCCTCCACCCATTGGCGCCATTTTATATGTGGGGAAACTGAGGCTCAGAGAGGGCTAGCACTTGCCTGAAGTCACACAGCCAGTAAATCACAGGACCAACATTCAAAGCCAGAGCCCTTTCTCCTGTACTTGATGCGCCCCAGTACTCCCCACCCTCCTTTCTAAAGCTTGAAACCCCACCACCAATAGTTTATTAAAACTCTACTTTCTACTGGAATTGACATTTTGTTAGTCTCTCACACTATATCACATTCTGTTTGGGAACCAGGATTGAAAGAAAGGCAGAGGGCGCCTGGGTGGCTCAGTGGGTTAAGCCGCTGCCTTCGGCTCAGGTCATGATCTCAGGGTCCTGGGATCGAGTCCCGCATCGGGCTCTCTGCTCAGTGAGGAGCCTGCTTCCCTCTCACTCTCTCTGCCTGCCTCTCTGCCTACTTGTGATCGCTCTCTGTCAAATAAATAAATACAATCTTTAAAAAAAAGAAAACTTTAAAAAAAAAAAAGAAAGAAAGAAAGGCAGAGCAAGAAAGAGATAGAAATGCTGGAGGCAGGGGAAGCGTGACCTGGGGGGAGGGCAGCCCACCCAGTTCTTAGGCTCACCTTGATCAGGTACAAAGGGAAATTTCCACCATAGTTTTCGGGAACTTCCACATTCAGTTCTGCATACCAGTCCTTGGGGAAAACCTGGAGGAGGATTCTCTCCTTGTCTCCAGGCTTTACCTTCCTATCATGGGTGCCTGACAAGGAAGTGGAATTTCTGCCCCTTCTAGGGGCCTGGCCATACCTTAGCCCAACCACCTTCTGGCCTTTGACCTCCTGATCCCACAATGAGGTCTATAGCCAGCTCTGCACACCCTCCCACAACTAGTCCCTTCCATGGTCAGTGCAGCTGGTCCAGGTGGAATGGGAGAGAAGGGTGCCAACTCCCAAGGCCGGGGTCTGAAGGAGACGAGTGGGACCCAGCTCACCTGGGCTACGGAGAGGCAAAGCAGCAACAGCCAGGCAGGGACCATGGTCAGGATGGGCCTGAGGGACAGGGCAGTAAGGATCCAGCCAGGATCAGTGGGCAAGGATTCCCTCCTAATACTCTCCTCCTAGAGAGTGTCCCTCCCTTCACTCCCACTCAGCCCAAGCCATGGCTTCCACGGGCCCCACAGGGTGCAACTGTCCTTTCTTCCAGCCTTTTCCAGAAGCTGGACCTCCTGCTACCTGTCACTATGGGAAAGGCAGCCAGGTCTCCTCCTGCCCCTGTCCTTCTATACTCTCAGAGCTGCCCCTCCCCATCCCACCCACTTGGACATTGCCCCCCACCCACTGTCATCCTTGTCCCGTCTCAGCCCATTCCATACCAATAGCCAGAGGGACCTCAAGACAAATTGGCCTCCTCTTCCTCCCCTTAGAGGAGTCCATGGGTCCCCATCACCTGCAGGGTTGAGGGCCATCCAGCTCCTCAAGCAGGCCCACCCAGGCCCCCAGGCCCAGCCATCCTGTCTCTTGGTTCTTGCCCCCCCAAGAATCTCCACTGGAGTTTCACCTCCACACTTTTGGCTCCTTCCTGACATAGCCTCCCCAGTTTGTATGGAGATCCCAAAGTGGTAATTGCCCAGCCACCCCAAATATCACAAAAGTCTGAAGCTGGAAAGACCCTGACGACTCTGAGGGTCACTTTCTGCAGCCACCTCATGCTGGAGGCGAAGCCTGAAGGGCAAGGCCCGACCAAGGTCACACAGGACTTTACCACAGGACAATTCCTCCTGGAACAGAGGACCCATGGTTCAGGGTCTTGCACCCTGTTTTCCCACCCACTGCCATCCTTCAGACACAGAGTCCCCTTGGGGAGGGAGTCCTGCCCTTGTTTTCGTATTTGCCAGCACACAGCATGGAGCTGGGCCTGCAGAGCAATGGACAACCACTCCAGCCATTCCTGGCAATTCTTCCCCTGAACGAAGGCTGGATAGGACAGGGTTATTCCTTCACCTACCACCGACCCCAGCCTCAGCCCTGCTCACCCCTCCACTCCAGGGCACCCTCCGGTGCCTAAGGCGGGCTCCCTTGGTCCAGCTGCCAGGTGAGAGGGCTCTTTCTCCAGGGAGTGCTGGCCAGGCCGGGATGGGTGGAGTAGGGCAGGGTGGACACTTGAGCAGGTAGGCGGTCCAGCCATGCTTGCTCAGGAATGGAAAACACCACTGGGCCCACAGCAGCAGGCCTGGCCGTGCCCAACCCCCCAAGTTACTCATTGACTTTGGAAAGCTGGGGGCTGCTCAGCATCTGTGACTGCCAGCCCCAGGAGGTGGGGAGATCATTGTCCTGGCACTGCTCCTGTTCCTATACAGCCCAGTGGGGACTTCTTGTCTCTCAGGCTTGGACATTACTTCTTTTTCTGTGGTTCCAGACTCAATCGCACTTCTCCCCTGTGGATCAGCATACGCAGCTCTACCTTGGCCCACTCTGTTGCTTTTGTCTGGAATGCCCTTCCCTCCCTTCCTCTGTCTAGTGAGCACCTACTCAGGCTTCAGTACTCAGCTCAAATGTTCCCGTCTCCAAGAAACCTTCTGGGGCTCCCAGGCTGGTTCAGAATCCTTTTTTTGGGAATACCCTCTACTCCATGCCTTGTGCTACCGCCATCAAAGCAGAAAAGACACCAGATTGTCATTGTCTATCTCTTTCATCAGACTGAAACCCCTCCAGGGCAGGTCTCAGGAACCCAGTAATGACCTTGCCCTCCCTTGGCCTTGCCAGCTTCTAACTTGATCAAAAACAAGGAGCTGGAGGTTCCACATAAAGGATAAATGAGCATGGCCTGAACTGGGTATTTGGGGCTCTAGACCACTCACCAGTGGGACCAGTGGGTGGGAGGCACAGCAGCCCGTGAGATCTCCTGAGGCTCCCTGAGGGCTCGCACCGGCTGCTAACACAGACAGCCAGGGACAACAGCCTGTCTCGTGCCTCTGAGAAGGAAGAGCAGATTGAGCCAGCTCAGGTGACCTTGAGAGAATCGCAGGGCTTGCCAGAGGCCCCCTCCCCCACCAAGGGCAGCCAAGTGGAGCCAGGAGAAGCTTCTGGGGCCTGGGAGTCCGACAAGGGGAGGGGTGTGTGGGGGAAGGGTCAGGGATCCCGTTGTTAGTCCATCCTTGTCCTTGGAGTTTCCCATGGTCTTCCCTGAGTCCTTCCCACCTCATATCTGGAGGATGGGCAGGGACCCCTCATCTGCCTCCAGCCTTGTCTGCCACAAGCCCAGCGCACCTGCCTCAGGGCGACTCAGGCTCCCCAGGCACCTCAGCCTGGAGCAGAGCACTGTGGGATTGTTGACGGGGTCTCATATGGGTTGAGCTCCTACCATGCACCCAGTACTGCTCTAAGCACATGCCTTCATTATCCCCCCCACCTCCATTCTGAAGGGGCACTGTCCCCATGTCACACCCTAGGGCACAGAGATGCTGAGTGGCTTGCCCAGGGTCACACAGCCAATAAATAGCAGGGCTGAGAAGGCCTGGATTCTTCTTCAGGCCTCAGGACATTCACCTGCTCTGAGAAAACCATGCCTTCCACATGCCTCTAAGTATGTTGCAGACTGGGAATGGAGAGCCGCAGCAGCTTGGAGCAGTTAACATTGCCCTGGGGGGTGTGTGGGTGAGTCAAGAGAGGTCCTGCACCTTGAGGAGTGGCTTTGAAACCTTCTGCCATTGAAAACTGCCATCAGTGTTCTAACTAGGTTGCAAGAGCTCCTAGGGGTCTGTGGAGTAAATACGTTGAACCAATGAAGGAAATGTATGGACCCTTGCCCAGAACCTTCTCAGAAACTGTCCCATGCCTCACCACAGGCTGCCTTCGGTTCTGGAGACCAGCAGACATATATACCAGTCCCTACTCAGCCACTTCCACCTGTGTAACCGCAGACAATTGCTTCAGTTTCCCATGTGCCATTGCTAAATGGAGCTATTCCTTCCCGAAACAATATGGGGAAAGTCCCAGCAGTCACCTGTGGCGGGTGTGGGTGGCAGGGAGACAGGTACACCTCCAGCTATCAGTGAACATACACACATTCCCACACAAATGCAAGGCCTCTCATTCTAGGCAGGGAGAGCCCCGGAGAGGGGTTCCTGCCAAGACCACATTACCCAACATTGAGCATGGGATGCTCTCTTCTGGCCCCTCCCAGAGGAGAGAACAGTGAGGCCCTTGCTCCGTAGCCCAGCCCCAGCCACTCACCTCCTCCTTTCCCACCTGGGGAGTCTCAGAAGTATTCCACAGCTACCCTACCTCAGCAAATTTCCAGCCCCTCGGGAGGAGGCAAAATGGAGACACCAGCCCAGAAGTCAGACCCAGGGTTTTTGTTTGGCCTTGAGACTGGGGAAGGGCATGGTCCTTCAGACAGCCTAAGTTTTCCTTATATATAGCGGGGTGATTGAACCCTTAATTAGCTAGGCAATGCCAGGCCCCAGGGCAGGAGAAAAATCTGGAGAGCAGGTTGGAAGGGGCTTTTGTCTCCTACTGCTTGGATCTCCCGTCAGGTCACAAGCCACACCTGCCCCTCTGGTGCATCTGGCTAGATCGGAGCCCAAATATTAGGAGAGTCAAGGCCACAAGCTAGGGTAGGGCAGTGAGGCCCCGTCCCTCAACCCCAGGAACGCCCCCTACTCTTACAGCCCCCTTTGGGAGGAAACACAGAGTCAACAGCCCTGATCTATCAGGAAATAGTCTTTATTACAAAAATTTGCATGTAAACAAATAAGCACTGCACTGAACAGCCTCCTCTCAGAGCATGCACACCCCAAGCGTGGAGAAAGCTGGAGTTCCATCCCCACACACAGGCCTGCCCCACAGGCTGGGCTCGGGCCGCTGCTTGGGACACATACACACCGGCCTGTACACGTATCACTGTGGGCCCAGCCCTTGATGGCCCGTGGGAGCTGCCTGGGCAGCACCATCTGTCTGTCTGTCCATAACCATCAGGTGGGGTATGCCCAGAGTCTGAGCCAGCCCTGAGGCACCTAGGGCAGTTGGGTGGGCCAGCCCACCAACCTGTCCACTTGTATGCACAACGCGGTATGGGTCTGTGGAGTCTAGAGCACCGAGAGATCATGGCAGGACTTGGACTTGGCACGAAAGGCCATCTTGCGGCTGTTGCGTGCTACGATGCGGCCCAAGAAACGCTTTGCTTTCTTGCCAAGACTCTCTCGCCGCCGGGTACCTGCTTGTCGACGTGCATTGGCCTCTTTGCTGTCCCTGCGCAGGCGTATCTGGCGCACGACACCCTCAAACAAGGCCTGGACGTTGTGGTGCAGCGCCGCTGATGTCTCAATAAACTTGCAGTCGAAGACCACGGCACAGGCCCGGCCCTCTGGTGGGGACAGGGATGTGCCGGTTAAACTCTAGTCACCCCATAGCAGCTACCACTCGGGAATCGAGGGGTCAGAGATGGAGCCCTGGTGGTCCCCAGAAACACAGACCCCAGCTCCCCTACAGAGGATCCAAGGCATTGTTGGGTCACCCAACTGGCAGAATGTACCCACCTTTAAGGAGCTCACAAAGGCTCACAAGAGGAAACTCATTTATGGAAATAATTTGAAGCCTGATATTCAAATGGCAATGCCGTAGCAGTCAACACAAGACAAGGAGAGCTTTGATGGGGACCTTAATATTTCATGGTTTGATGTTATATTATGATGAATAACCAGTGAAATTGGGAGGAGAATGTCACCAAGTCACTGCTAGGTTCCTCTGAGGGACTCAGTTCTGGGGGTCACAGAGGAGAATACTGAGCCCAAGAGGGGCAGATCCTCCCCAGAGTCAAGACCATGCCGAGACCAGCCCCAGCCCTGAATCCATGCTCTGAGCTCCTAGCCCAGTTCCCTGCACTCTCCTCACACCTCATCTGTCAGGCCAGGGCCAAAGGATACAGGAGAGGAGGGCCCTGAGGTGGCCCAGCTCAGTGCCCAGCAGCTTCCTCCCCCCACCCCCAGCGCATCTGGTCCTTCCCCCCAGGCCTCTCAGCCCTCTGGGAGTCCTGTGGGAGGGCAGCAGCTTTCCCCCTCTCCCTGTCAAGTATTCTTCCTGAACATTTTTAGCCACTTATGATCCCCAGGGACTTGAGCTGAGCCAAGACTTAATGGACCACAGGCCAGTCAGGATGTCCCTCCCTTTCCGACCCACTCCCTGCTCACCATCCAAGGAGACCTCTCGAGAGCGCACCAGGTCACTCTTGTTGCCCACTAGGATAATGGGCACGTCGTCCATCTGCCGTGCCCGCCGCAGCTGGACCCGCAGCTCTGAGGCTTTCTCGAAGCTTCCCTTATCTGTCACTGAGTACACGATGACGTATGCATCCCCCATAGCCATGCAGTGACCAGGTAGCCAGCAGCTGCTATCCTGGGAAACACATACACATGCATATCTACCAATTGGTCTCATGCCCAGGCTACAAGGCTGTCCCTCTAAGCAGGCCCCTAACCCCAGGTCAGCTCTCCCACCCGGGCCTGGGTCTCAGGTGGGTCTCAGCCTGCAGCCTACCTGCTCCCAAATGTCATAGACCATGAGTGATGCCTCTTCTCCATCCACCATGATGGACCGATCATACGTGTGCCCTAGGCAGGAGACTAGCAGTCAGGTTACCTGCTGGTTGCCAAAAACCACCCTCCCACACCATGTGCCAGGTTTCCTATTTTGGCCACACCCTCCAACTGCACCAGAGAGTCCTCCCCCACCCTCCGGCCAACTTTTCTCTCCACTGATGGTCACTGTGCAACAAAGAGATGACAGGGCTGAGAAGCAGGATGTAGAGGACATGGTATGCCTGACCTCACCTAGACAACTCTTCCCCAAGCTGGCCATGTCCTGGGTTGCCTCTCCTGTGTTCCCCGCCCTCCTGTTGCATGGGCCCCAGGGTAGCTCTGACCATAGCAGCCTAGGTTAGAATAGTGACTGTCATATTCTTTGGGAGCCTTGGTCACCTAGGGCTCTTCTCCTAGAAACTCCCTCTGGCTGTGTTCCTGTCACCCCTGGCAAGGAGGGATGTCCTATCCCCATCCTACAGAGTTGCCTCAGGTACAGCCTGGGACTGCTACTCTGGGCATTTCTTCCCCTACCAAGGGCTGGAGGTCCCTCCTTCCTTAGTTTCCCCATCTGTGAAATGGGTAGGTAAGGCATGACTCTGAAAGTGCCACGGTATGCGCTGCTTTGAATTCAGGTCCCCAGCCCCGTCTCCCCTCCCTTAAATAGTCCCAGCCCCTCACCTGCGGCCTCTGCTTCAGGCCCATCCTCTACACCACCGAAGATGCGCGCCAGAGCGCTCTTGCCCACGCCAGGCGCCCCCAGCAGCAGCACCTTGTAAACGCTCTCGTCTGAGTCGCTGCCCCCTGAGCTGAGCGACTCGGAGGAGCCCTCGGGCCAGTCGAGCGCCGCACCCTGGGCCCCGGTCCCCGCCGCGGCCGATGCCAGAGCGCTCGGAGCCAGCGCCGCCTGCAGGTCACGCTCGTCCACCGGCATGCTTCGACGGTGCAGCGGGGGCGCGGGGCCCCAGGGTGTGCTGCCTCGACGGCGCTCGCGCTCCCTGCCCCCGCCGCTGCTCCCTCCGGCTCCGCTGCCGCCGCCATTCAGAGTCATGGCGCCCGACGCCGTCTGAGGAACGGGAGTGGGGACGGCAGGGTCAGCCGTGGGACAGACGGTATGGGAGGCTGGACCCCGGGCGCGCCTGCCTGACGCCGGGCTCAGGCTCGACGCTCTGGCCGAGGACCTGCGTCAAGGACACAGCGGTCCCCTCCCGGCCGTGGAGGTCCTGGCGTCCTGACTCGTGAGTCACCCTCCCGACTCGTCCATCCGTACCCCGGACGGTGCGACCACCTGCACCCCGCTCCGCCAGGACACTCACCCAACCGCACACGGACACGGTCAAGAGAAGTAGGTTCCAGGCCTCGACACAGTCCCCTCGCAGACCCTGGCTCGGACACCCGACGCTGCCGCAGTCACCGCCTCCTCGGTCCGCTCTGGGTCCCGGCTCCAGAGCTGCCTATTTAAGTGTCTGCCCGCCCCCGCCCCCGCCCCCACCCCCGCCCTCACCCACGTCCCCGCTGCTGAGGGGGCTGACGTGTCGGTCCTCCTCCCCCTCGGGGGAATCCCCCGCCCCCCTCCCAGGACCTCGCACCCACCGAGACCCCGCCCCAACCGACTGGACAGACAAAGCCCGGGCAGAGCATGTGTGGTGGAAGGCAGGGAAGGAGGGACCAGGAGGGGGACTAGGTTGAGTGGTATGTGGGAGGGGCTTGGAGTTGGGGGTATCAACATGGCTGGGGTCAAGGGGGAAAGCCCGACAAGCCAGCTCCCCTCTGGGGAAGAATTAGTTCTGGCCCTTTAACAGTGAATTCTTCCTTTGCTCTCCCCCAGCCCTGGCCTGCAGCCCAAGCAAGCCGACCAATACAGGCTAGACAAACTTCACCCTTCTCTGTTCAGGACACCCACTCCCGAAGGGGCCCATATATGAGCTAGAACTGAAGGGTCCTAAATCTGAGCTTCAAGTCTTGGCGCCAAGTCCTGCCTACTCCCCTCCCTGCCCTGGGGAATTGAAGGTTCTACCTGATGAGCCTGGCCTTCAGGGTGAGGGTTAGTGTCACCATGTGAGCTTCTGGGAGCACGTGGAGAACTTTGGGGTAGGGGGTGAAGGAAGGGAGGTGCTCTGGCAGCGTATTGCAGGTAGAGATGCATGCTTGATTTGGGGGGAGGGAATAGAGGTCCAGAGAAGGGAAACGATGAACTCAGCACCACCTCACCTCCCAGCACCCTCCAGACAGCTGCCAGCAACTCTGCTAAAAATACCTGGTCCTGGCCCTTCCTGGCCTTTCTGCTCCTGGTCGTTCTGCTCCTGGGCTGGAGGTTGCCCAAAGTTGGGGAAATCCTGGCAGACAGGTGTCAGATGGCAGTAGGAGTGGCTAGGGGTGGGACTGGACCAGGGCTGGATCCAGCCGCTGTAAGTCTTCAACGTCTGTTTCCTTCCCTCTGGTCCCAGATGGGCCTGTAGTTCAGGGCACTATGCAGGGCCTGGAAGTTCAGACTCCCATCTAGGAGCATAGATATAGAGTGCAGCTGGGGCAGGACTGGAGCTGGTGGGTGGGATGAGCCACCATGTGGAGTCCCCATTGCCCAGAGCTCACCTACCCCTTAGAACTAGGGTGGGTGCAAGGCCATAGAGGGGAGGAAATATAATGAGGGAGCTTGGTTTCTAGACCTGTCTCTGCCTCCAGGCTTCTGCGTCTTGCCTCCTCTCCCTGCGTCAGGGTGCCCAGCTATAAAATGACCTGTTCCCTCCCTGACTCATGTCTGGATGTGTGAGGATGGGGGGCGAGAGAGGCTATGAGGTGCTTTGTGACAGGGATCTGTTATCAGACTCTGATGTTTAATTGTGATGAGTGTGGTGGGGGTCGGGGGGGGGTGCCCATTCTGGCTCAGGTGACATCACTGATGGAGATCCTGGTGGGTTGTGGTAGGTTGCTATGGAGACCTGAGTGGGGCTCTCTGGAGGCTCTATCAGTTTCCTTGGCAACTGATAGGGCCTTGCGATGAGGAGGGCCTGGCTAGGTAAGTAGGAGGCGGTTCACACAGGACCCTCTGGTCTTTTTTTTTTTTTTTTTTTTAAAGATTTATTTATTTATTTGACAGAAATCACAAGGAGGCAGAGAGGCAGGCAGAGAAAGAGGAGGAAGCAGGCTCCCCGCTGAGCAGAGACCCCCCCCCACCATGCGGGGCTCCATCCCAGGACCCCGGGACCACGACCCGAGCCGAAGGCAGAGGCTTTAACACACTGAGCCACCCAGGCGCCCCAAGGACCCTCTGGTCTTAAGATCCTCAAAGTAGGCAGGGGCTAGACTGAGGGGTGACCTGGCCACTATTGTCCCTCCCATGGTCCTGTGTTCTTGGGGGCCTGGGCAACCCCCTGCTGGCCCTAGCTTCCTGGGTGAGATCCAGTGGCAAGAATCTCATCTTGGTGGGTGGAGCCTCCTGCCAGGACACAAGCCTCAAAAGCCAGCAAACCACTTCCCATCAGGAACCCTGGACTGGGCCATTTATGACCTCTCCTACCCCTGAAAATAACCCCCCAATGTCCAGCAGAAGATAGGTATGTGGCATAGCTGTGACACTTCCCAGCAGGGAGCTGTGTGAGGAATTAGGGCTGGGTTTCCCCTCCAGTAAACTGAACCCTCGACTTCAGCAGTGTTTCTTCATTGCCAAGGGAACTGCATCCACACTGGACTAGTCAGGCCCCAGGCATTCCCCAACAGGCCAGACACACCACAAGCCTAGGTATGGCCAGGGGCCCCAGGAACCAAGACCAGGACATGACCTTGAGACCTCCCCACTCCCACCTCCTGGTCCTCCCAGCTCTGTGGGCTGAGCTTGGCTGCCCTGGAGCAAACTGAATCTGTCCTAGTAACACACCTAGTAAGAGCCCAGCCTTCAAATCCCAGCTCTGCCACTTACTAGCTGTTTCTGTCCATTTATCGTGGGCGAGCCTCAGCTTCCTCCTGTGTAGAACAGAGATAATGTTTGTATGGGGGTTGTTGTAAGATTTAAATAACAATATGAAATGCAGAGGTAAAATGCTTGGCATATAGTCGTATCTCAATACGAACACTTTTAACATTCTTGTTTGGATGGGACAGGTTGAATGAATCTGTGTCCCCCTCCTGCTGCTTCTTTCTTGCTTCTGTTCCATTCTCTCCAAAACAGTGGTTTGCCTAGGAGAGGGGCGATGCAGATACCCTTCCCCGCCCCTCCATACCCACCTTCCCTCTGTGGGATCCCACACCTTTCCCCCTCCCTCTAGTAACAAAAATTTGCAAAGAGAACTTGGCTGGGTTTCAGTATCCCCAGCCCTCCTCACACAGCGGCTATGCCCCACTTCCTTTGTTCTAGGGCTCATTTCATTCAGGGGTACCTGGCTGCCTCAATCAGTAAAGCATATGACTCTTGAGTCGTGAGTTTGAGCCCCACACTGGACATGGAGGCTACTTAACAAAAAAAAAGTAAAAAATTAAAATATAAATAAATAAATAAGGCTCCATTCATTCATTCATTCATTCATTCATCTCATTGACCTGTACTTAGTACCTACTGTGTGTCAGGCCCCTGTGCTGTGGGCATGATAATAAGCACAAATGGACATAGCTGGGCATGTTCATACATGTCATCTAATCCCTGGGCCAATCTCTCCAGCTATGATTTGTTGTTCCCATTTTGTAGACATGGTAACCAAAGCCTGAGAAGTCACGGGCCAGAAATAGCAGAGCCAGACACACCTGACAGAGGGCTTCAGAGACCTCAAAGCTCACCCCATCTCATACCCATATACAACAGATGGAGTTCCAGAAAGTTCCCTGGGCCCTAACCCAAGATTCACAGATGGTGTCCTTGCAGGCAGCCAGGGGCCACGCACAGATGAGTCAAGACTGACAAGGGGACTATCTGATATGCCAGCTGTGATACGAACAGCTTGATATCCCTTGCCCATCATGGCCTGGCTGCCGGGAGGGCCAGCTGAATCACTCAGTGACACCTACGTCCCTCATGACCTCCCACCCCCAGCAGACCTTAGACAGAAGGGGTAGGCAGTGCAGAGGTACACACATGGTGAAGCCCACATGTGGATATAGGTGGTCGGGAATGCTTCCTGGGCCCGAGGGACCCTGGTTGGTCACCTTGTCTTTTCCCTGGTAATTGTCACAACTATGCCCACATTACACATGAAGAAACCAGGGAATGTGGACTGATGACTTCATCTGTCTGAGCATGGGCAGCCAGATCTTGGTCACTAGGTGGCAAAGCCCCTCCTTCCTGGAATTGGGGGTTGGCAACTGTAGGGGGAGGGTGGGAGCCTAGGCCCTTCCATCCAGGCAGCAGCGCCCCCTGCCAGCTGAGGAGTATGAGCCAAACTGCTTACGTTCCTCTTTACTCCCTGACTGGAGGTCTTGGGGTGAATTATTTCAGAAGCTTGTTTCCTCATCTGTGAAATAGGGATAATAAAGGGTAGAAACAGCCACACAGGGCTGGGTGGAGGACTGACTGACTAGGTAGTATATGCAAAGCTCTCAGCTAGTGCCCACTCTCAGGACAGGCTCAATATTGTCAGCAGACCCTCAAGAGATCTGCAAAGAGCCTCTGAAAGTCTCTGCCCACAATCACACCAGAGCCTTTGCAGGGATGAAGTGGCCAAGGCAAGGCTTCTTAATATCCTTTGTATCCTCAGAGAAAGAAACTGAGGCAGGGAATCATGGCATTATAGTTCCTAACTGGCTGATCCTAGATCCAAGCCCCATGGACCATGCTAGTGACAGACTATGCTTTGGGCACAGGGTTAGGGGAGGCAGAGGGCCCAGACCTCAGCACCTGAAGTGACACACATCTCTGGGGATGCTGGTGGAGTGGGTGCTTCAGGGTCCTTTCAATAAAGAAATTGGCTGTCACTGCCCTGACCAGAGGACCAGACCGGGCATCACCAACAGTGAGACAAGCAGGCATTACACAGCTACTGGTGGATGCTAAAGGATACATAGGAAATTCTTGAGTTAATAAACTCAAACCTGAACTCAATCAATTTCCAGTTAATAGGAAACATAGCCGACAAAGAAGAAATCAGATTGCAGGACTTCTTCAGGACAACTCATCTTTCAAAAAAGTCACTGTCAAAAAAAGATCAAAACATGGGGAGTGGGGAGACAGTTTTAGAAGAGGCTAAAGAGAGATACCAATGCACATAAAGTTTCACTGGAGTGTGATTTTTTTTTTTTAATAGGCTCCACACTGAGTATGGAGCCCAATGCGGGGCTCAAGCTTATGACCCTGAGATCCAGACCTGAGCTGAGATCAAGAGTCCAGACGCTTAACCAACTAAGCCACTCATGTGCCCCAAAGCCTGATTAAAAAAAAAATTACCAACTATGAATGACATTTTGGGGATATTCATAAACAACTGGATATTAGATAGTGTTAGGGAATTTTTTTCTTTTTTTTAGATTTTATTTATTTATTTGACACACAGGGAGAGATCACAAGTAGGCAGAGAGGCAGGCAGAGAGAGAAGGGAAGCAGGCTCCCTGCTGAGCAGAGAGCCCGATGCGGGGCTCAATCCCAGGACCCTGAGATCATGACCTGAGCCAAAGGCAGAGGCTTTTTAACCCACTGAGCCACCCAAGTGCCCCGGAATTTTTCATTTTTTTGGTCAGATTACAGTACTATGGTTATAGTACTCTTAGGAGACCGGGTTGAAATACTTAGAAGTGAAGGGTCACTTATCTGCAGTTTACTCTCAATATATTTATGAGACTGGTGATGTAACATATTAACAACTATTAAATACAGATGATGGGTATACAGGTGTGATCACTACACTACTCTCTCAAAACTCTCGTATGCTTGTAACTTTTCGATTGGAAGAAATTTTTAAAATGCACTGCATCTCATCCACTCAGCCTGTAGAGGAACTTGCACTCATGATCACCATCTCCTCTCAAACCTGGAATGACCCAAGATGAAAGATTCTGAGACACACTGGAAATGAATATAAATTAAGGGTTTATTATAAAATGTAAAGTGTTAGTTTAATGACTCATCAGTGATTCAAAAAAACAAGGCCATGAGCCCTGGGTGTGACTGGGGGCAAAAAGCCAGGCTCAGGAGCGGGTTGACAGGCACTGGTTCACAACCTCCAGCAGGTGGGTATTCTCTAGAGCAGCTGCTACCCGTTCCTTATCTGCAAGCTGCTTGTTCACTGGATGGAAAAAAAAGAAGGCATGGGGAAGGAGGATCAAAGCCAGGCTCTGGCCACCATGCCAGCCAACCCCACTTCTAACCTTTGCATATATACGTACACACTTGCACCAACCTCCTGTCACCTCCTTCCCGTGACCCCAAGCCTCGACCAAGCCACCCAAACCACCTGAGCCAACACCTACCCCCACCGTATTAGGATCCCTCCCACCTGGCTGCGGGTGTCTGCTACCTCCTGTACTATCAAGTCTGACACACCCTGGTGCTGTGTCCTTAGGCGAGGGAGAGAGCAGGAATGGAGAAACATGGTAAGCACAGGAGACTTAAGCCAGCTTCACTCTAAGCTGCCGCCTCCCCTGAGGAGTCACCCACCCAGGCCCCCTCCTTCCATCTTGCCCTGCGAACCACCAAGGCAAGAGGGAAGCCTCAGGGCCAATGCCTCAACATCAGCCCACACTCACCTGCATGCTCCGAGGCATGAGTTCCTGGTGTAATGTGCACATCCATCTGGGAGGGAGACAGGTGAGGCCTGAGCATTTATCACCTGTCTACCCCCTTGACCTCTTCCCCCCACTCACCACCTTCCACTGATCCTACCTCCTAATGGTGACTGTGGACTCTGGACCTTCCATTACGCCCCAAACCCACCCAAAGCCACTCCATCTCTACCCAAAGAACTGGCTGCTACGGTTGACTTAAAGGCCTGCCTGTGCCCTATCCCTGCTCCAAATCTAGCTACAGCTTCCACTCCCCTTCCTGCCACACTCACTACTTTTCTGCACTTTCCACCTCAGGCCTTTATCCTTGTTGTCCCATTCAACTGGAAAGGCTCCTCCCAGTTTCATCATTGTTAGTTGGGATCGTTGCAGGCCTCACTCTGATGTCCGTGTTCATGCTCTCCGAGGCTTCCTCAGTAGCACAAGCTCACCCCTGCCCTATCCCTGGGGCTCAGTTCCAATTTACCTTGAAACGCTGGGGAAGGGATCGAAGAAGCTTGACTTTGATGGACAGGCCGATAAGAGTGGCCATGCTGCAGTGTGGAATGGTGGGTGTGAAGGCCACAGCCACCGTACTCTCGGGGTCGCTCACCTGGTTGGAAGAATGAGATCTCAAAAGGACTGCCTTCTCCTTCGCCTTAGTATTTTGCTTCAGGATAATCGTCTAGCCTCTATAGGCCTGTTTCTTTCTCTATAAAATGGGCACAGCAATCCCCCCGTTCCGAAGATATCCTGACGAGTCCGGAAGCTCCTGGTGCAGATAAACTTTTCTGACTCTTCCGAACCATCTGCCCCCTCGGATGCAGGCAATGACTCACCTGAACCCGGACTTGCTCCACTACGTTCAATTCTTCCAGGGTCAGTGGATGCTCCGGGTCATTGATGGAGCGAATCAGATGTGCCAAGTGAAGGAAAAGGGACTGTGTGCGCTGGCCCACTCAGAACCCTCAGCGGGGAATGCCCAGCCCCGATACAGCTCCACTAACTACTGGACAGCATCACTTCAGCCCCCTCCCAGGCCCCAGAGAACCCGCCCCCGCGCGGCAGCGGCGGATATCGAAGATCTCGCGCGCGTCGATGCTGTCTGGAACCTGCTCGTCCTCCTCGCCCGCGGTCACCGGTCGCTCCCCAGAGCGCTCGTAGATGAGCGGGTTAGCGTTCTCCAGGAGGCCGCCACCCATCCCACCGCCGCCCACCATCGCGAAACTGCTGCCGGCCGCCGTAGGCATGCACTTCCGCTCCGGCCGGGGCACTTCCGGGGAACGGGCAGGGGGCGTGGCGTGGCGACGGGGTCGCTAGAGGGACAAGCTGTCCCGCCGGACCTCAGCCTGGGGTTTGCAGGGAGCGGTGGCCTCGGCGCCCTCTGTAAATTAATCCGGGAACGTGCAGACTGCCCCGACGAATACACAGAGAAGCCACTCGAACGGTACGGGGCGTTCGAGCGCGTAGGTGCTGGACCGCGGAGGTCACGGCTGGCTTTCTTCGGTCAGGCGTATCTTCGGGCACCACTGCCTCCAGGAAGTCGGCCCTCAGGCTGGGCGCGTCGCCGCGGGCCAAGTGTCCTCTGTCCTGGCACCGTTTACAGCGTTTCGGAGCCTCTAGGTGACGCGCCTGCATCGCTCGTTCCACCTAGGGCCCCAGAGTGCCCGCGGAGTCCCTAGCACATGGACCCGCAAGCACTCTTTAAACGTTGCCAATCTGTCAATAAATGAGTTTGAGCTCTTTTGCGGAAGGTGGGGAGAGGAAAAGCCATAGGATTGGGTTGCGGTTGTCACAGTCATGGGTGCATTGGCAGGCTGTGGCTGAGGAGGGAGAAGGCCCCCAGAGACCCTCAGATTAGGGAAAATAGGGCATGAGGGACCTTGAAGGTGGACCCAGAGACTGAGTCCTGAAAGCAAGGAGGAGCTCTCAGGATGGGCAGTCACACCTCCCCGCTTTTCCTCACGCAGTTCCCTTCACCCTGAACGAAGGTCGTTCCCATTTCTACATCTGTGGGAATCCTGATCGCACACCTCCTCACGGAAGCTCTCCCGGTTTCCCCAATCACAGCTTATTGCTCCTGCTCTCCAGACCCGAACACCCTTATCAGGCCCGTGACCATGAGGACAGCGAACCCAGTGACTCCAAATTTGAGGAGATGGTTGTGGGTATTGTGGAGGGGCTGCAGAAGCCTCCAACCCCTTCTGAGGAAGCCCCAGAAGCTTGGTTTTTGTGCCCGCAGGCACTGGTTTTTGCCTGTTCAGTCTCAACCCCCTTTCCCTTCCCAGCTTGCCCCGCCTACTCCCAGCCCAAACTTCAGACCTGGTCAGGACACTCCCTGAACTGCAGCAGGAAGGGCCCCTGGGCAGTCTTTGGGTGAAAAACAGCGGCTTATCGGGAGTAGACAATGCTGCTGGACCGACTTTGCCTGCGGCTGAACGCTGTGGTCTGTGGGCTCCTGCTTTTCCTCGTCCTGGGCCAGGGTGAGGCTCTTTCAAGGGGTGGCAAGGACTGTGGGTCATCTTGCCAGATTCTGCAGGGGCAGGATGTGAAGCTGCAGGAGGGAAGGCTCCAGGGAGGTGGGTGAGGGTGGAGGACTATAGTGTGGGGAAACTTGCACCTGACCCAATGCTTTGAAAGCCCTGGATGGGCCCCCTGAGGTGCAGAGAGAATGGTGGCTGACCTAGGTCACATAGGTCATGTAGTACGGAAGGGCAAGGGAGGCCAGGAACTCTGAGCACAGCCCGGTGTGGTAGGTGGAAGTGGGGGTCGTAATTCAGAGCGTTTCCCCCTCAGTGTTTGTGGTAGAGCTAGCACTGCCTGTGAAAAATAATAAGAATCGTCCTGCCGCAGTTTGGCCCTGAGTGTTGTGCCCTTGGCTAGAGGGATGTCCTGGCACCCACTGAGTGTCCTTCCAAAGGGGCCCCAGTCAAGATTACTGGCTCTTGGGGAATCTGGCTGTATAAGCCCCTACCCTTGCATCCCACAGCCCCTGTGTTGGAGAGACTGTCATATCCTTCTGTTCACCCCATGAACCCATTCTGGGTGAGGGCGCTGTTTGGCCTTCAGAGCAAAGGTGACTGCACTTCATGTCAACTTCCTGGCTCCCCCGGGCTGTTACCAGTAGCTTGGGCTATTCCGGCACCATGCCTGAGGCCTCCACAGCAACTGTGTCCCCTCTTGCCAGCGTGATCCTCTCACCTCAAATGGCCCAACCATGAGCCCCGACTGTCCTTCCCCTTCCCAGGCCAATTTACTTGGGAGACATCTGCATTAATCCGTTCCGCATGGCCCACCCCCAGAGGTTTCCACCCTTAGTAGCCACTCACCAGGCTCTTAGAGGTCACCAAGACCCTCCAGCAGGACGATTTGCTAGGCCTTGCTGATCCCTCCGTTTGAAAAATGTTTAATATTTCAGATTGGACCCATGTTCAAAAAGGAAAAATGGACAAGGCGTTAGAGGGCACAGGTGATATGTCTGACCCTCTCCTGTCCCATCCTATCCTGGCTCCTTCACAGGGACCGTAAGGATCCCCAGGGCCTTCTACACACCACTCAAGAGTTTCCTCAAGAATGAGTGTGTGCACACATCCTTGGTTTTCACCTGAATGATCACAAACTCCCTCCCTTTCTGGCACACAACTTGTCCACTTCCTGACATAGGGGACAACTTCCCCACACCTGTATGTGCTAGAGCTTCTTCGTACTGTTTCATGCAAGGGTTTCTCTTCAAGGAGGAAGGATCCTTGATGTAACTGGCCTCTGATCAGGGACATCAGGTTGTGTCCTTTCCCATAACAACCTTCAGGCATTGGAAGCCAGTGGCCACAGTGAGTTACATGGACAGATATCCCAGCTGGCAAGGAACTGTGTGTAGATAGGTGTTACTGGGGAGAGGGGTGGGCCTTTGACTTGGAAAGACATTGCTCGGTTACCCTCTGTGGAACCTGTGAGTGGCTGTTGACTCTGACCAAATCCACCCGCTATGGCATCAGGCATGGCCTGATGTGCATCAGTGTGCATCAGTGTTGACCCAGTAGGTGTTCTGAGCAGGGAATGGGCAGGCGAACTGGGAAGGGAAAGGTGGGTCTGGCAGGAGAGTGGGACTTAACAGGCAAAACCCAGTGACAGGCGGGCACTGGCATGGCCACTTCCCCTTTGCCAGGGGGGCCCCCTTGGGCTTCCTCAGAAGGGGCTGGAGGCTTCTGCAGCCCCTCCACAATACCCACAACCATCTCCTCAAATCTGGAGTCACTGTGTTCGCTGTCCTCATGGTCACTGGCCTGATAAGGGTGTTCGGGTCTGGAGAGCAGGAGCAATAAGCTGTGATTGGGGAACCCGGGAGAGCTTCCGTGAGGAGGTGTGCGATCAGGATTCCCACAGATGTAGAAATGGGAACGACCTTCGTTCAGGGTGAAGGGAACTGCATGAGGAGAGGCGGGGAGGTGTGACTGCCTATCCTGAGAGCTCCTCCTTGCTTTCAGGACCCAGTTTCTGGGTCTACCTTCAAGGTCCCTCATCTTCTGTTGTCTCTGGTCTGTGGGTAGTATAGATCCCTGAAGCTGGGTTTTTTTGTTTGTTTGTTTGTCTGGTTTGGTTTTTTACTTCTTATTATGGAACCAGGCTCAGATTGGCCAAATTCTGCAGAAGCAGGACCTGAAACTGCAGAAGGAAAGCTTCAGGCAGACAGGAGCCGGTGGAGGACACCAGAGGAACTGGGAGCCTGACCACTCACCTCCCTGCACCTCGAGGGATGGAGAGGGTTGGGGCTGCCCGCAGCCACACAGCACCAAAGGGTTTCCAGTCTGTGGTAGAACAGTATAACACATAAGCGCTTTTTAAAAAATTTTATTTATTTATTTGACAGACAGAGATCACAAGTAGACAGAGAGGCAGGCAGAGAGAGAGGAGGAAGCAGGCTCCCCGCTGAGCAGAGAGCCTGATGCGGGGCTCAATCCCAGGACCCCGGGACCATGACCCGAGCCGAAGGCAGAGGCTTTAACCCACTGAGCCACCCAGGTGCCCCAACACATAAGCTTTTTAAGGCTCACCTATGTCGACGTGTTCAGTACTTTTTTCTCTGTATTGCTGGATGATATTCCATTGTACAGATGCAGTACATTTTATTGCTCCGTGTATCAGTTGATGGACCTTTGGATTGTAAATTATAGATAATCCTGCTATGAGCATTCACGCGCAAGTTTTTGTGTGGTTGTATGTTTTCAGTTCTCACAGGTTTATACCTAGAAGTAGAATTGCTGGCTCATATGGTAAGTCTATGTTTAACTTTTTGAAGAACTGCCAGATTGCTTTCCAAAACACCTGCACCACTTCACCTTCTCACTAGCGAGGTGTGAGGGTTCCAGTTTTTCTATGTCCTTACCAACGTATGTTGTTAGCAGAATCTCTTACATGAATCTCTTTGAATCTATTTTCCTTGTAATTTTGTTTTTCCGTGGAAGAAACCAGTTCAGTTCTGGAGAGGATCCCAGAGTTTGGGCTTTGCTTATTATATCCATATGGCATCTTTTAACTATTTCTCTGCCCCTGGCATGCCTGTAAACTTGTACTCATTTATTTGTATTCTACAGGCTTGATCGGATTTCGGTTTCAGGTTCTGCTTTGTTATGTTTTGGGGCAAGACTACTTTGTGTAGAGCTCTGGACTTCCATTAGAAAACATACATTGTCTGCTTGTCTTGCTTTTTGTGGCAAAGTAAGTTGTTTGACGTCACAGTCAGATTTCCGCAAATGTTTCTCTTAGCATGAATGAGGTGAACTTTTCTTCCTTAGCGTATGAGCCATTTATTAGTATTCCTTACTCTGTTCCTCATTATTTCATATTCTTTAACCAAGTAGGCGTAGATGGCACATTTCTTCGTCTTTTGTAGAAATTCTTTGTGTGTTAAGAATATCACCGGGGTGGGGCGCCTGGGTGGCTCAGTGGGTTAAGCCGCTGCCTTCGGCTCAGGTCATGAGCTCAGGATCATGGGATCGAGTCCCGCATCGGGCTCCCTGCTCAGCAGGGAGCCTGCTTCCCTCTCTCTCTCTGCCTGCTTCTCTGTCTACTTGTGATCTCTCTCTGTCAAATAAATAAATGAAATCTTTAAAAAAAAAAAAAAAAGAATGTCACCGGGGCTCCTTGCATCAGGTGACTTTCAGTCCCTTCCTCCCTCCCTGATTCCCCTAGTAAGGCAGGGGGTGGTTCTTACCTTCTAGTTACAGTGATGCCTCGCTTTTGTAGTTCTCCTCACCATATCAT